AATCAGTGATTAATAATTTTACTAAATATATTAAAAAGTGTTTATTTATTTTGATGCAATTAATTGGAATAATTGTTTCAATTCGTAAACAAATAAATTTAGATGCACAAAAAAAATTAAACAAAAAAATCAAAAAACAATTTATGATCTGTGTATAAATCAATTAATTATCCAAACCCATTTGTTTTAAGTTTTAATTTCACTAATGTATTATTTAAAACAAACTAAATAAAGTAATGGTTAGTTAAATTACCATAGTATGAGATTTAAAGATGTTATGTTTTGGCATTTCTCCAAGCTCATTCTAATGTTCTTAGCTTCATCTGCACCAAGGTCATTAATCCTATGAAAATAATAAATAATGAATGTGTTGAAAATAATGAAAATAAAATAGAAAAGTAATTAATAAATGGGTTAATAATGAATGATTTTACTAAACATATTAAAAAGTGCTTATTTATTTATTTATTTATTTTGATGCAATTAATTGGAATAATTGTTTCAATTCGTAAACAAATAAATTTAGATGCACAAAAAAAATTAAACAAAAAAATCAAAAAACAATTTATGAGCTGTGAATCAATCAATCAATTAATTCTCCAAACCCATTTGTTTTAAGTTTCAATTTCACAAATGTATTAATTAAAACAAACTAAATAAATTGATAGTTAGTTAAATTACCCTAGATTGAGATTCAAAGATGTTATATTTTGGCACTTCTCCAAGCTCATTCCAATGTTCTTAGCTCCATCTGCACCAAGCTCATTATACCTATGAAAATAATAAATAATGAATGTGTTGAAAATAATGAAAATAAAATAGAAAAGTAATTAATAAATGGGTTAATAATGAATGATTTTGCTAAACATATTAAAAAGTGCTTATTTATTTATTTTGATGCAATTAATTGGAATAATTGTTTCAATTCGTAAACAAATAAATTTAGATGCACAAAAAAAATTAAACAAAAAAATCAAAAAACAATTTATGAGCTGTGAATCAATCAATCAATTAATTCTCCAAACCCATTTGTTTTAAGTTTCAATTTCACAAATGTATTAATTAAAACAAACTAAATAAATTGATAGTTAGTTAAATTACGATAGATTGAGATTCAAAGATGTTATATTTTGGCACTTCTCCAAGCTCATTCCAATGTTCTTAGCTCCATCTGCACCAAGGCTCATTATACCTATGAAAATAATAAATAATGAATGTGTTGAAAATAATGAAAATAAAATAGAAAAGTAATTAATAAATGGGTTAATAATGAATGATTTTGCTAAACATATTAAAAAGTGCTTATTTATTTATTTTGATGCAATTAATTGGAATAATTGTTTCAATTCGTAAACAAATAAATTTAGATGCACAAAAAAAATTAAACAAAAAAATCAAAAAACAATTTATGAGCTGTGAATCAATCAATCAATTAATTCTCCAAACCCATTTGTTTTAAGTTTCAATTTCACAAATGTATTAATTAAAACAAACTAAATAAATTGATAGTTAGTTAAATTACGATAGATTGAGATTCAAAGATGTTATATTTTGGCACTTCTCCAAGCTCATTCCAATGTTCTTAGCTCCATCTGCACCAAGCTCATTATACCTATGAAAATAATAAATAATGAATGTGTTGAAAATAATGAAAATAAAATAGAAAAGTAATTAATAAATGGGTTAATAATGAATGATTTTGCTAAACATATTAAAAAGTGCTTATTTATTTATTTTGATCGTAAACAAATAAATTTAGATGCACAAATAAATTAAACAAAAAAATCAAAAAACAATTTATGAGCTGTGAATCAATCAATCAATTAATTCTCCAAACCCATTTATTTTAAGTTTCAATTTCACAAATGTATTAATTAAAACAAACTAAATAAATTGATAGCTAGTTAAATTACCATAGATTGAGATTCAAAGATGTTATATTTTGGCACTTCTCCAAGCTCATTCCAATGTTCTTAGCTCCATCTGCACCAAGGTTATTATTCCTATGAAAATAATAAATAATGAATGTGTTGAAAATAATGAAAATAAAATAGAAAAGTAATTAATAAATGGGTTAATAATGAATGATTTTGCTAAACATATTAAAAAGTGCTTATTTATTTTGAAATTTATTATGATATAATTTCAATTTACAGGTTAATAAAATAAGAATTGTCAAATAAAAAATCCTAAAATATAAATATTGTATAAATTTTATTAAAGTCTAAATAAGAGAATTTATACTTTATTAATTTATTTTCATATTGAAATTATCTGATTTTTTAGTTAACTAATACGTAAATTAAAATGATAGTTTTGGGAAATAAAATTTTTAGTGTAAATTTAAAAAGGTTAAATATATTTTAATTTTAAAGTAAAAAAGATAAAAAATTTATAATTATCTATTATTAATTTTTAAATTATATAGTTTTGAATATTAGGTAATTTTTTTAATTTTGATAGTTCAAATAATAATTTTAAACTAAGACTTCATAATAATTTATAAAAGTTAAAAAAAATTTTTTTTACTCAAAATTTGTAAAAACACTTCTTTATTTCTACAGTAAATAAAAATTTAAGTATTTAATTCTGCAATTTTAAATAAAATAATTACTAAATTTATATGTTTCATTTTTATTTTAAATTCATTGATTGATTCTATTTTTCATTTCATTTTATTTAGCAATTAAAATTTTTAATAACTTAATATCTCAAAAGTATAAAAAAAAGAGATCTAAAATAAATTTCATTTACAATATTTAGCTTTATATTTAATTTTGATAAAATAAAACTATATTTAAATGAAAATAAGTGGATTTATTTAGGAATTAAAATCTATTCACAAATAATTATCAATTTAAAATTATGGAAAAATAACCAATTTCTAAATTTTTATTAGATACTTAAAATAAGTACAATATAATAATTAATATTTATTTTAGGGGAGAAAATATCAATTAAATGAATAAAAAATATTAAAATATGATGTTATTTGAAGAATTCATTTTAAAGAATTATTTATTAAAATGAAATTTTTAAAAAATATTTAAAATTATTAAATAATAATATTAATACTGGAAATCTAGATCTAAGTGATGAACAAGCCTCTTTGCTATGCATTCCTAGATTTTAGAGAGATTACTGTAATCACTAAAAGTATACTCATCTAATCTGACTTCACTTTGTTTGCATGTGTAGTTAAATTTAAGAAAAGATTGTCTGAATTTTGAAATCATCATATTAGATTCAGTAAAATCCAATTTGTCTTATACTGCACAAATGAACTCATTTTCTAGTTTTAGTCTTAAATCATTTAATTTTTTAGTTAACTCAAATGAACTGATTCTATTCTAAGGTATTTTTTCAAGCATTTTAACTATGATTTAGTTAATATCTTAATATAAACCATTTTTGCTTATATATTATGGTAGTTATCCATTTCTGATAAAAGAACAATCTGAGTCTTCTAGAAACTTTCCAAGGGTTAATTCAAGGAGAATTACTCCTAAGCCATAAATGTCATACTTTAAATAAAAATATAATTAAAAATAAGTAAATAAATAAATAATAACAAAATTTAATAAATTTACTTTGATATTGAAGGTACCATTTTTTGTATCTGTAATTTCTGGAGCTGCATACTTTGGTGCAAATCCTTTGAGCTTTTAAACATAAAGAATGTAAAATAAAATAAATTCAAATCGAAATAACATCTAATATATTAAGAGTATAAAGAAATTTTTAAATATTAGAAAAATGGAGAAATTTTGATAAATTTTAATAAATTAAATGTTTAAAAGTAAGTATTTAAAATCTAAAAATGAAGAATGCTGAAATTAATTTAAATAGTAAATAAATATGAATAATAATAAATAAATTAATTAATTACATCGTAAGTTTTTGATCCATCTTTAAATTATTTAGACTCTCCATAATCACCTTTTAAATAATATATAAGAATTTGAGTTAAAATAAACTAAAAAATTTATAAAATGAAATATAAAAATAATATTAAAGTAAATCTTATAAATTTAAAGTATTTATTTATTAAGAAATAAAAACTTAAATAATTCAAAATTATATATATTTTATTAATTAAATCACAAATATTTTAAAAAATAATGTATATGTTTATAAATAAGTGTTAAAGTTATAAGATTTAATTTAATTAACAGAGCAAATTCATTTATTTAAATTTAAAAACATGTGAATAAAAAATCTGGTGGTTTGGTATGCCACTAGTGCTTTGATTCGCATGTAATATCAATAATAAATATATAAATAATAAAAGATTTAAAATTAATCAATAAATAATTTTTAATTTATTTATAAATGATAATTATTTGCTGCTTAATACGTAAATTTGCTTTTTTATACTTTTAGAAGTGAAAATTTAAAAATCATGGGGCAAAAATTTTTTAAATTACAGTTTATTGTAATCACATTTTTAGAAGGGGGTAAGATTAAATGAATTTACAATATATTTGTTGTTTGTTTGTTTGTTTGTTTGTTTGTTTGTTTGTTTGTTTGTTTTAAAAGTTTGTTTATTAAAAATTTAAAAAATAAAATAAAAATTTAAATAACGTTAGAAATTTACATAGATAAAAACATTTTTCTTAGCTATCGTAAAGGATATTCTCAGGTTTAACATCAGAATGAATCAACTTATTCTGCTCAATTTTTTCAAAGACTGTTGACATCTGAATAGCAAAACCAATTATTTAGTTGAGTGGGAGAGTTTTTCTCTATTCAAAGAAGCTTTTCATGATTTCTTTAAGATTGCCTTTTAAATTTAATATTTTCTAAAAACTAATATGAAAAATATATAAATTTTTACATGAATATCTTTTAGAAATCTGATAGTATCTCGAATTTTTTTAGTTTGTAAACCCTTTGATAGATTTAAAAACATAAGGAGTATCCTTTAACAATTTCAGTATTTTTTCTTCTTCTTCAATTTTTTCAAAGTTAGTTTTGCTACATTTGATAGCTACTATTTCTTCATTGTACTTAGCCTCAAAAACACATCCAAAACCACCTTGTGAAATGTAGGATGTTAAGTATATCTTCTCCTTTTGAAGCTCATTGTAAATTGTTATTAGTTCATCTGAATCAAACATCATACTCTTCTTATGTTTCTTCAGGTATTCCTCAAAAATTTTTTCAAATTTTTCGACAGGTGCTTCATATTTAAGCTGAATATCTTGTTATTGTTGCATGATTAGTAACTTTTGCTAATATAAAAAATAATTATAATATTTAAAGTAAAAGAAAAAATATTTTTAAATTTAATTTGAATAATATATTTTATTTTATAACTAAATCTTTTTTTATTTACCTTTTTTTTCTTTCTTTTCTTTTAATTAATTAATTTCTTTCTTTTTTTAATTAAATTGTAAAAATTTGTTAACTGAAAAAGTAGTTATTAATGAATGATTATTTTTTTGATAATTAATTAAAAATAACAAGAAAATTTAAACAGTTTTTAATTTTCCCCAAAAGCATAAAAATTAAATTTATTCTATTACTTATAAAAATAAATTAAATTATAATTAATTAATATAATATAATCAATTAAAGTTTATTATATTATAAATATATATTTGTTAGATTCTATTTTAACTTAATTTAATGAAATAAAAAACTAAATAAAATAATATTTATTTATTGAGATAAATAAAAAAGAAAACAATAGTTTTTAAAATCAAAAAATAAGAATCTTATAACAAAAATTAAAGGACTAATTATATTTATAAAATTAACAATAAATAAAATTTTATAATTTTTTATCAAAATATTTTTCTTTTAATCTATAAATTGTCTTCTCATAAAAAAGCATAATTTACTTAATTTTTATATAACCTATAGTTCAATTTTACTTGTTTTATATTTTTTCATAATAATCTATTATTAAATATTTTTTTAATTATAAATAAATTAAATATCACCAATACACTTTTATAATTAAATTTAAGTAAATAAAAATTGTAAATAAAGGTATTTTATCTATTTAATTATATATAAATTTTCTAACATATAATATATATCTTATTTTACAAATGAAAATCTTTGTCTAAATTAAAAACTATTTATTTTTTCAGTGAAATAATTCAACAATAAAGTTAAGATATATCGTATAATAATTGTTTATTGAAGATAAACTCAAGATTCAGAATCCATATTTGAAAAATTAATACTAATCTTTTATCTTTTAACAATATATCTAAAAAAATTTTTCACAATATCTTTTTAAAGATAGATAGATATTACCTAAATTCATTAAAATTTTATTAAAATTTTTAATACTAAAAAGCATAATTAATTGAAATTTTTGATATGATTTTGTATTATTACTATTATAAATAAATTTAAATAAAAAGAAATTGTAAACTGAGGTATTTTATCTATTTAATTATAAATAAATTTACTAACATATAAATTTTATCTTATTTTACAAATGAAAATTGTTGTCTAAATTAAAAATTATTTATTTATTTATTAGTTTCAGAGAAATTAATTCAATAGTAAAGCTTTTTAAAATTATATCTTTTAACAATTGTTTGTTGAAGTTAATAATATAATTAAACTCAAGATTCAGAATCTATGTTTAAAAAGTACTAATCTTTTTATCTTCTTTGCCTATCTAACAAAATTTGTCACAATATCTTTTTAAAGTTATTACCTAAGTTTATTTATATTTTATTAAAATAAAATTTTTAATCAATTCATCAAGAAATAGTTAGTATGTACTTACATGAATGAAATTTTAATAATTCGAATGTTTTGACAGTTTATTAAGGCTTTCTATTTAAGAATTTTATCATGTAAGCTTGTAAATAATAAATAAATTAATTTATCAAAATTTTATTTTATTTCTGTTAAGTTTAATAAAGAAAAAATAGATTTACTTTAATTCAATATCCAATAATAATAAGCTTTAAATTTAGCTAAAGCCGATAGCCAAACTTGATTCTCCAACTTCAGTAATTTAATTGAATCTTTAAATAAAAAAATAAAATTTATTCATTTTTATTTTAAGAATGCAAATAACTTTTTGAAAAATATTAAATAATTTACTGTAAGTAGATTTTTAACTTTGTCAATTTTGCATATTTTACAATTTCTGTTGCAAAATATGATGCTCTAATATCAGTAATATTATTTGTTCTAATATTAAAAGTAATAAATAAATGTATTAAATATAGAATTTATTATAAATAAATGATTTGATACAATAAATATAACTGCAAAATAGTCAAAGTTTCACAATTTCTTAATCCTTTTATTAAGCTAAAAATACCTTGATCTCCTATATTACAATCCCTTTTATTTTAATGATTAAATTTGATAATTTAAGAAATACTAATTTAAATTGTAGCATAATTTACTCTAATCCAATTTATAAAAAAGAGATAGCTGAGCATTGTCCTAATTTTATTCCAACCATTTATGCTCCTTCGTCTCCAATATTATTAGCACTTAATTCAAAAAAAAATTATTGAGATATAAAGTTAATATATTTAGTTAGATATTTCAAGATTAATTAATTTTAAAGATGAATTAATGTTTTGATAAGAATTAAAGTTATTATTTTACCTTAAACTAATATCCAATTAAGTCAGATTAAATAATTTATTTATATTTATTAATAGATTTTCTACTCCCTACAGGCTAATATTATTTTCGCTAAGTTATTATTTAAAGAAATTATTATTTTGTTTAATGGTGTAAATAATTATTTTAAGATTAATTTATTTATAAATGCTTTAAAATAATTTGTTAATAAATAATACCTTATGCCAATCTCTAAAATTCTTATATTTACACAATCTTCTACTAGTCTTGTTCCAATAAACATAGCACCTTGATCTCCCACATAATTTTCGCTTAAATTTATTTATAACAATAATAATTTTTTAATTTTGAAATTTATTTAATTAATTTATTAAAATTAAAGGCAAAATAGATAAATTTTAATTAATTTTTAATATGAATTAGCATACCACAGTTGAATTTCTAAATATTGAATATTTTGCGATTTATTTAAGAATTTTGATATCATTTATGCTCCTTAATCAGTGATCTAATTCTCTCTATAAAAATTTTATATTTTAAAAAATAAATATTCACACTCAAATTAGATTTATGAATAAAAATTAATAAAAAAATAATTATTATTAAATATTTTCATGAATAAACAAACAAGATTAACTTTAATTTTTAAAAATATTATTTAAATTTTTGATGAATTTAATTTATCACTTTAAATGATTATTTGTGTGAATCAATTCCTCAATAACAACAAGATTGAAGCCAATCAAAAATTAATTAATTTAAAGAAAGAAAGAAATTATATGAGAATTATTTTCTAAAATTAATTCACTTTAAAAAATAGTTTAAAAAATTAATATTTAATTTGCATTCTTTTAATAAGAATTTAAATTAAATTTCAATAAATCTTTTTTAATAACTAATAATTTTAATTTTAAGTTTTAAAAATTCTAAATAAACAAATAATAATTAAATTTTACTATAAACTGAGTTTTAGTATTTTTAAATTTTACAAAGTGCCTAAATTCATTGAAATGTTTGATGTTCCCAAATCTCCAATCTTATTATTTCTTTAATAAAAAAATTAAATATGAAAATAAGATCAATTTTATCATTTTATTTAATATTTTTATCTAAAAATAACTAATAAATTGAATAAGCTACCCTAACAAAAGTTATAAAAATTAAAGATTCTTGCAGTTAGAAAGCCCAGATGCTAAGTTAGAAACTCCTTAATTTCCTATCTTGTTATTTCTATCATTAAAATAGAATTGAATTAAATTAATTCATCAAAATTATAATAAAATATTATTAATTAAAATGCTTTTAATTTAATATAAAAAGAAAGAATAAATAATACTCTAAAAAGAGATTCAAAAATTTAAGTTCTGTACAACTACTTAATCCTAAACCCAAATTTGTTGCCCCATCATCACCAATTTTGTTTATGCTTTTAAATTATAAAATAAATTAAATATTCCAATTATCAATAAAAAATAAAATCATAAATAAGTAAATGTGAATTAGTTAGTATACTAAAGTCTAATTGATAAATTAGTGAGACATTTACAATTACTTATTCCTTTTGCTATACTAGATACGCCTTAAGCTCTTATATTGTTTTAACTTTTATTTAAAAATAACTGTTAATAACTGTTTAATTTATTTAAATATTTACCATAATTCAAGATATAATACTTTTAGATTATTACATTTGCTTAATGCTACTCCTAAGTTTATAGCTTCTTAATCATCACAATTAGTTTTCCTTCAATGATTATTTTTATATTCAAAACAAAATTAGAATCAATTTATTTATTTTATTGATATTTTTATTTAGTTGTTTTAATTATTTAAATAATCTAATTCTCTTTTAACAAAAATAAAAAAATAAAGGCATTTATTTTAAATTTGACCAAAACTAAAAATTTTTATTCTTAAATTTTTCGATTTCAAATAATTAATTATTTATGTTTTTATAGAAAAATTTGTATTGAATTATGAAAAAAAGATTAATTTTAAATTATTTTCTAAATTTATTTTTACCTTAAATAAATTTCTAGCTCAACATGTTCAAGGAAATTAGACATTAAGAATTTTTGATATTCTGAAAAGCCTTCTTGAGCCAAAATATTCATTTATTATTGAGTTGAATTTAATTAATCTATAAAATCAGCAATCATTTATATTGTTAAAATTGGAATAAGATAGAATACTTTTTTTTTATTTTATTTGATAAATTAAATATTTTTAAAGATTTATAAAAATATCAATGAATTTTTAGAATATAATGAGATAATAAATATTAATTTGATATATTAATATATAGGTTGCTTCTTAATTAATTATTTTACCTTCTTTTAAAATTCTTTCTTAATTTTGTCTACTAGTTTAAATTAGTAAGACATATTTTATGCAGATGGTGAATAAATATGTGAAATTAAGATCTTCCTAAAGTATTTTTTTATGATTTCAACTTTTAATTTACATTTTAATTTAATCAGCAAAAAACTTTAAATATTTTACAAAAAGTTATAATAAGATCAGCTCATCATAAATATTAAGAACTAATAAAGATTTTTTAAAAATAGATGATTCTTTGTTTACAAAATTTATTATTTAAAATAATGAGTGATAATTGTTTTAATTGAGTAGCCAAAGATTAATAAAATGTGATTGTATCAAATAAAATGCTAAAGAAATTAATTTTGAAATATTTAATTATATTCTCATTTTTTTTTTCAAAGTTAATCATAAAATTAAATTCAAGGTTTAAAAGATTTTTAATTCCTCTACTTGAATGGCATTAAAAAATTTAAAAGAAAAGCAAAAATAAATAAAAACAATTGATATATTTTCAAAAATAATCATATTATTTATAAAATTAACAAAATACATTTTTAGAAAATATTTAAACTTTCAATTATTTATATAATAACAAGCAATCTATGACACAGTATCAAATATTAAAATCAAAAATGTACATCCCTGTTTTGAAAAAATCAAATTAAATTACTTAATATTTCTACAATTAATTTCTGACTCAATTTTTAATTGAAAAATAAGAAAAAGAAAAAACTTTCTACTAAAAAAATACTAAAATTATTAGGTTTTATATATTATTTTTATACTTATTTATTTTATAGCATAATATTATTTATTTTATTTCATCTAATCAATAGTTATTAAACAATAACAAATTAAACATATAGCCTTTTGAATTTTCAAATAGAATAAAAATAAAAAAAATTAATTAAATATTTATATTCATCCTTAAAGGACTAAGTTTTATATTAAATTTATTTGGAATAATCTAAAAATAATATTTAATTTTAAATTTTCAAACACTGAATAAAAATGAATTTTACTAATCCATAATAAATTAAAAATTTATACTAAAAAGCATATATTATTTGAAATTTTTGATATGATTTGAAATTAAATTGAGATAAATGATTTGTTTAGTTAAGTATAAATAAATTTATAATATTTTGTTATAAGTGAAATTAAAAACTATTATTATTATTATAAATAAATTGAAGTAAATAAAGATTTTAAATAAAGGTATTTAATCTATCTAATTATATATAAATTTACTAACATATAATATTTATCTTATTTTACAAATTAAAATCTTTGTCTAAATTAATAACTATTTATTTATTTATTTCAGAGAAATTAATTCTAAAATATAGTTTTTTAAGATTATTGAAGAATATTTTTTTAATTATATTTAATTTAGATAATTAAACTCTAGATTTAGAATCCTTATTTGAAAAATAAATACTACTCTTTTATCTATCTAACAACATTTGTCACAATATCTTTTTAAAGATATATTTTACCTAAATTCATTAAAAATTAAAAATTTCAAACTGAATAAAAAGAATTTTACTCTACCATAAGATTAAAAATTTGAATACTAAAAAGCATAATTAATTGAATTTTTTGATATGATTTGAAATAAAATAGCATTATTCCCATTATAAATAAATTTAAGCAAATAAATATTTTAAATAAAGGTATTTTATCTATCTAATTATATATAGATTTACTAACAAATAATATATATTTATCTTATTTTACAATTGAAAATTGTTGTCTAAATTAAAAATTATTTATTTATTTATTTCAGAGAAATTAATTCAATAGTAAGTAAAGTTTTTTAAGATTATATTGTATAATGATTGTTTATTTAAGAATATTTTTTTAATTATATTTAATTTAGATAATTAAACTCAAGATTCAGAATCTATACTTGAAAAGTACTAATCTTTTTATCTTTTTTGCCTCATTAACAAAATTTATCACAATATCTTTTTTAAAAAATTACCTAAATTTATTTAAATTTTATTAAAAATAAAAATTTATTTGAATCAATTCATTAACTAATAGTATGTACTTACATGAATGAAACTTTAATAATTCTAATGTTTTGACAGTTTGTTAATGCTTTCTATTTAAGAATTTTATCATTTAGGCTTATAAATATAAAATTAATTAGTTTATCAAAATTTTATATTTTATTTCTGTTAAGTTTAATAAAGAAAAAATAGATTTACTTTAATCCAATATCCAATACTAATAGTCTTTTAATTTAGCTAAAGCCTAGAGCCAAACTTGATTCTCCAACTTCAGTAATTTAATTGTATCTTTGATTTGTAATATATAATTTATTCATTTTTTTTAAGAATGCAAACATTTTGAAAAATATTAATTAATAATTTTACCGTAAATAGATTTTTAAATTTGTCAATTGTGCATATTTTACAATTTCTGTAGCAAAATATGATGCTCCAATATCAGTAATATTATTTTTTCTAAAATTAAGAGTAATAAATAAATTTATATGATAAATATTATGCATTATTTATTGGTTTGAAAGATTGAATTTATTATAATAAATGAATCTAAATAAAAGATTAGATACAATAAATATAACTGCAATGTAGTCAAAGTTTCACAATTTCCTAATCCTTTTATCAAACTAAAAATACCTTGATCTCCTATATTACAATCCCTTTTATTTTAATGATTAAATTTGGTAATTTAAGAAATACTAATTTAAATTTTAGCATAATTTACTCTAATCCAAATTATAAAAAAGAGATAGTTGAGCATTGTCCTAATTTTATTCCAATCGTTGATGCTCCTTCGTCTCCAATATTATTGCCACTTAATTTAATATAAAATTATTTAGATAGAAAGTTAATATATTTAGTTAGATATTTCAAGATTAATTAATTTTAAAGAGAAATTAATGTTTTAATAAATACTAAAGTTATCATTTATTTTACCTTAAATCAATATCCAATTAAGTCAGATTAGATAATTTATTTATATTTATAAATAGATTTTCTACTCCTTACAGGCTAATATTATTTTGGCTATGTTAAAATTTAAAGAAATTATTATTTTGTTTAATGGTCGAAATAATTATTTTATTTATAAATGCTTTAAAATAAAATATTAATAATTAATACCCTATGCCAATCTCTAAAATTCTTATATTTACACAATCTTCAACTAATCTTGTTCCAATAAACATAGCACCTTGATCTCCCA